GTAAAGCGTGAGCTTTGTGGGCCAGGGTGTTGTGAGCACAAAACACTCTGTGCTTCTTCTGCGTTGGATCATGTGTAAGAGAGAAAGAGAGCAAAGGGTGGCAGAATATTCTGTTTTCCTGTCATTTCCTCTGTATCTGTATGTATGTATGTAATTGTACCCGAGGCAAGCTGTGCCTGAGAAGCAGATGTAGAAACTAAGATTAGGGAGGTGACATGCACTAAATAAATACTCATAGCCAGCTTGTCAAATTTGTAAAAGCATGTAAACAAATCATATCATTATTTCTGTTCAATGAAAACTCCAGTCTCCAGGCTCAGTATTTTTGCCTACACGGTTACTTGGCTTGGACTGAGATGAAAGAAAGCTTAGGTGTGTATGTAACATACTGATGAGATGACCAGACCTGTGGTCGACCCACAACTGACAGTCATGTTTAATTAATGTAAGAAAAACACAGAGTTTAAAAATTGCTATTACCACCTCTTACTTGACCGTGCCATGAATAATAAAACCCCCTTTTGATGATGAGGTCTAAAAGCACTGGACAGATATACATGACAACTAGGAAATACAGTGAAATCATCTATCTTCTTCAACCGCTGGAGGTGAGATCTGGCTTGCATATGAGTCTCATTAAGAGGGGTCTCGCAGGACATATGAAGTTCCCCAGGTCCCAGTATTAGTGGACTAAAAAATCGACTGAGACATTTCATATAATACCAGTCAATAACAACCTTACTGAGGCAAGGGAAATCAGAGAGAAACCTCACAAAATGAAATCTATAAGCAGGATACACTGCGCTCACGTACGCGCCCACGGAGCACTGGGTAATTACTCCTGGACAAAATAGCAGGTGATCTATGGGCATATTGAAGGCAAGAAACCATTAGTGCATTCAAATGACAAAACACATGTAAACAATCTGAGATTTCCTACTAGGAACTTTCACAGTAATTTAATGGTAAAACTTCCATTGCTCGATTCAAATTACACAGACAGAAGAACCACATGTCATCAAGTTCTTCATACTGAATGCATGGTATAAAAACAATGTTTTAACAATAATTATATTGTTAGTTAACATATAAATATAACATATAAAGTTTTTTGGTCTTTCATATTGGAGGGGTTCTGCTGATAAATGGCATACTTCTAATTAAAGTATTAATACTACTGCTAATAAATTAGAACAAATAACACAATTAATGTTTATAAATAAAATATACTTATAATAATAATGATACCAATAAATGGCATACATTTACTACTATTACTGCATGTTTAAATATATAAAAAAAGTAATAATTCTTAATAAAACACAATAAAATATAGGCTAATTAAAACTGTAAATTATCTATATTATGTTAAAAGACGGTGTGATGATTATGTTTAAAAGATTAAAAAGGTCTCAAAATGTAAAAAGTCTTAAAATCAATCAAAGCCATATAAAAATGTTGTACAATTTAAACTAATTAAGGATTAAAAAACTGATTTTCGTTTTTCCTTGGAAAAAAAACATCTGAATGTGCAAAGTACTTTCTAAAGACAGACCCAAGTATAGCCTATATGCTTTGATTAGATATAGACATATAGATAGTTTATATTCATTCTTATTGTTATATTGACTCCATGCAACAACACATCCATGATTTGGTAAGTGAAAGCCATTTCTGTTTATGTATTTTGTCCATTTAGTTAATCCTTAAACATTAGCTTTTATGCACTGCAGACTTATAGCATGGTTCAGATAATAATCACTGTCAGCAATTTGTCTCTGTCATAACTGCTTCATGTAATTTCTTTTTGTTCATATGACATTATGGTGTCAAACTAGTTCTTGTGCTGATTACTGTGATTATTCTGCATGTCCTTCATTATAAGTTGCTGTGAAACTATTCAAAGCATTGTTCAAGGAAAGTGACATAACCCATCCAAAAGAGTGTGGGTGTAGGAGTATATTTATATCACATGTTCTGTAGACAGTCATCACAGTAACGCAGAACTGCAGGTAGTAAGTAAGCAATAAGGTACGAGAGGCTGTGCTGTATCGTGAATAAGTAACGGCTGGAGGGCGTTGTTAGGCACGACGCGAAGCGGAGTGCCTGCAACCCCTTCAGCCGTTACTTATTCACGATACAGCACTTGCCTCGAGTACCTTATTGCTTTTATAAAACGGTTGCCACACAATAAAAATATTAAAGCCGAAAAATATGTATCTATGCAACTTTCATGAAGTAAAATCACTAAAAGCCTGCCTTCCGCTGGAAAAAATAGTCCCGGAACGTGAACAGCAACAGAAGTTACATATATTATTTCGCCAATAGATGGCGGCAAAGACTGTCTTTATGAGTGAGTGAGTGAGTGAGTGAGTCTGTAGAGAAGGCTTTTGAAAGGACTCGAACTTGTGATCACGGAGAAGACAGACGCAACTGACAGATGACTAACGTTATGCACGGAAAACCCCATGACTGTTAAAAGGACAAAATATGCAGCGGACATTCAAACGCATTTTTTTATTATGAATATAGGACTGACCTGAAGGAAAAATGCTACGTCTACTGTAAATGCAGGTACACTCGCTTACTCGATCTCTCACAATGCTCTGCTCTAGCTTTAAATGAACAATATCAATGAGATGAAACATCTGTTTAAGTTGCTAAGAGTGGTTGCTAGGGGTGTTGTGTAGTGATACATAGAACCGTTGGGTGAAGCGGTCATAGCCGTGTTTTATCGTGAATAAAGCCAAAAGCACGAGATATATCCAGCTGCAGACCCGCAGCACCACCAGTTTCAGAACCCCAGTGCCAGAACCCCAGCGCCAGAACCGGAAGTGAGGGAGGGGCGGAATTATTTACAATGACACAAGCATGGTTATTTTTGCAAGTATTTGAAAATATTTAAAATTGTTGCACCTTTTAAATAATATTTAGGGTATGTTTTTATTACACAGTGAGTCACTGCTCCTTGTATGAACTATAACTGGTATGTGACAAATAAAGAGCAAGACAGCGCTCGTGTTGTTTGAAGACGTGAGAGTGCGCGCGCGCGGCCAGGGCTCTCTCTCTCTCTGCTCTGCCCTGTCATGCGCAGCAGTCATTCTATTCTACATCACTCACCGATCAAAATAGGCTTTGGCGGGACACAAATTTGCTTTGGCGGCCGCCAAAAAGCGGACGATCTGACGGGTTTTAGAAGATTTAATACAACCTGAAACTAAAAAACAGACCCGACCTCTATTTGAGACCGGCCTTTATTTACCCAGACCTGCAGCCACACCAGGCGTGTAAAGGAGACAAGTACGGTACATTTTTATTGTTTCTTTTAAAACAATGCCGGATTTTCTCTCTCTTTTTAGATTTTTGACATTATTTTACATAAAGAAAAATGCATGCTGCACATGTTCTTGTGAAATAAAGTATATTTTATATAAAATGACCATAAGTTTCAAGTATTATTTTTCACCATCATGATCAGGAAGTAACTCTCATAATACAATGAAACGGATAACTATATAGAATTATATTACACAAAATCAATGTTTTAAAATGCTTATTGTACTATACCTTAATGTATCATTATAATACGAATAAAGTGTGACGTTTCGTGTGTAAAAATGCCGTTTCGTGTCTAAGCAAATTACGCTCCAAAACGTTAGGTGGCGTTACTCGGTTTAGAACGTAAGCTCCGCCCCTCACTTCCGGTCCTGGCGCTGGTGTTAGAACGTAAGCTCCGCCCCTTACTCCCGGTTCTGGCGCTGGGGTTCTGAAACTGGTGGTGCTGCGGGTCTGCAGCTGGATACTATTGAAAAGCACAGCTATTGACCAATCAGAATCAAGGATTGGAACTAACCGTTTTATAACTAACAATATTAACATAAAATTATTGTTAGCTGCAGTCATTTTTTATCCAATAAATTCAAGATCAGAGTGGAAAAGCCTGTGAACAGTCTGATTGTCTTGATTACAGACATATGACTTGATTTCAATGAACACATATTATCCAAATAAAAGTCAACACCCATCTTACGATTTATGCTGTTAATTAGGGTCAAAATATTGCATTTGATTAGGAGCAAGCATATGAATTATAGAAATGAGGGGTTCGTTTTTTGCTTGAATGGTGTCAACAGATGTTAAATAAAAAAGGGAATGAAGAGCCTTGAAGTTTAAAAAGTGATCTACTCTTCTTGATCTCAGGTGAAAATAGACAAAGCCGAATGAATATTCTCATTAATCTGTTGTGATGTAATCTAATATAGTTAAATGCTGACATCTAATGGTGAAAATCTGGCAGTACATTCTCGTGAGACTTTGTTATTGTGGCAGCTAGCCTACTGTTACTTTTCTCAGCGCGGATCAATGGATCAATCACAGTCATTTGTGATTACTGGCATGTCATTTTGTTATTTTACAGAGACATCTAACGAGAATTTCTATTTATATGTCGTTACATTTTTGTATAAAAAAGTTTGTGTACGTTAAAAACGGTTAAAAAAGGACTAAAAATAACACCGGGTTAAGGGTTAAAAACACACTCTGCATTGTTCAACAAATGAAAAAGAGCATGTCTCGTCGCCAACAATCTGTAACTTTCTGCTAACTTAAATCCGTAAGAGTGCAACCGTATTTTTTGTTTTATTTTTTCAAGTAGCCCACTACACATAAATAATTAAATAGCACTTTTCTGAAGAAAAAAAGTTTAAAATGATGTATGCTCACATGAAAAGAAAATGAAGTGGGGCAGGCTAGTATTGGTTCAATGTTGACTCGATGACCGCTCGGACCGATTAAGACAGATTCATCATAAAGATTCGACTCAAAAGAACGACTCGTTTACGAATCAGACTAATTGCATATAGCATATGTTCTATGAACATTCGACCTTAAAACTGAAATGAAGCATGATAATTATTTTAATTTATTTTATTTAAGACTTATTACTGAAGTTTATTTTGTACAAAATACAGTTCCGCCTCTTTACTTTTGATGTGACGTTGGTTGTCGTCGCTTGCTTCACACAAACTTTCAGGCGCTGATGAGAGTGGGAACTTTAACAATCACTTCTCTTTTACAAGAAGATCTTTCTATCGTCGATCAGATTTAACCGAATTGATGCCAGGGTGGTTTGACACTAAATAAAGTTATCTCACAACTTTAGACTGCTGTTTTTTGCATTTTAATGATAAGTTTATGATGGAGCGTCAGATAGTTTCGCCGTAGTAGGGGGCGAGGTTTGTTCAGGTAAGTTAACGTAACTCAACTAACTAACAGTTAAGTTACAACATAAACATCTGAAAATGTTGACAAGACTCAACACGCGCTGCTGAGGAATCGTAGGCAGGCAGACACCGAAAAAAGGGCTCCAGGTAAGTTTAATATTCTATAATTTTCCTTGAACTTAGCCAGCAACTTTACCTGTAGAGATCTTTATCAAATTCTGTCTAATTAGGCGACTCTTTAGCTTTTGAAACAGCCTTTCTCATTATTTGCACTTGATGAGTCGCTTCCTATGTTTGTTGTTCCTTCAAGTGCGAGCAGGAGTTTCCTTTTTTACTGTAAGCGATGATATAATTCGAATATCTCTTTCGAGGAATGAAATATTCTGTGATTGACATTACTGCCTGAGATGACCTGACCTAATGTATTTCAAACATGGCAGGAATAGCATGGTATCAGAAAAAGGTGAGCCTTTCTACATCTATCTTACAGTAAGTTAACAGATTGTGAGTGGAAAGTGGTTAAAAGTTCTCTAATGATCTTGTGTCAAAGATTGGAGCATATGATCAGCAGATTTGGGAAAAATCACTGGAACAGAATGAGCTCAAGGTAGTGTGGCAGTTTGTGTTTGCAGCATAGATGTGGTTCTTGAATATTGTGTAAAATGTATGCAATCAGATGTGTGAAACCCTGTTCCTTTTTTGAGCAGGGCTTTGGAAGCAAACCTAAGAAGACTGGCCATATCAAGCCTGACCTCATTGATGTTGACTTAGTGAGAGGTGAGTTACTATCAAGTTTAGCATCTGAATCTATTGTGATCTATAATTGTTATAGGCTGTCAGATCATACCTGTACTGTAAAAATGCATGGAAAAATCAGGCAGCGACGGTTGCCAGAAATTCACTGTAAAAAGTGACATTGTTTCAGGAATCACAGGATGACATTTTCATGCTTGTATGTTTTACAGTTTAAAACCATATATTATAATTAAAATATACAATATAATATATCAACTTATTTCAACTACTAAGTTAACTAAAGATAATCAAGTGTAATGTATCATACAGGGGCTTCTGGGAAAACCCTGTTTCAATTTTCAGTGGAAATGCATAGTTTTAACTATAGTATAAATTAAAGGTAATATATTTTTTTAATTTACTGTAAAATTACACTACCGTTTAAAAGTTTGGGGTCAGTAAGAATTTTTTGGAAGAAATTAATACTTTTATTCAGCAATAACACATTCAATTGATTAAAACTGTCAGAAAAGACATTTGTAATGTTACAAAAGAATTCTTTTTCAAATAAATGCTTTTCTTTTGAACTTTCTATCCATCAAACAGTCCTTCAAAAAAATGTTTCCACAAAAATATTAAGCAGAACAACTGTTTTCAGCAGCATATTAGAATAATTTCTGAAAAATCATGTGACACTGAAGACTGGAGTAATGATGCTGAAAATTCAACTTTACCATCACAGGAATAAATTAAATTGACATTTGACATTTAAAAAAATATATTCAAAAAGAAAACATCTATTTTAAATTGTAATAATATTACTGTATTTTTTATCAAAATCTAAGTCTTTGTGAGCATAAGAGATAAAATCGTAATCAATAAAAAAATCATACCAACCACATACTTTTGAATGTTTAAATGTTAACCCTCTGGGGACTAAACCCTTTTTGGTCCGTTTTCTCTATTTTTACATTTGGGCTTATAAACCATATGTAATGGAGATGGATCACTATGTGTTTGGTATCTATGGATTCAGAAGACCCTAAGATAACATAAGCATGCATGTAATGTGTTTATAAAGGAAGTATGAGTGAAAAATGTACTATAAACTAGAGAATTTCAAAAACGGAAATTAGATTTTTCTCATTTATTTCTGAAAATCACACATCACACAAAAATAGTGAACAGTCTTTGAACAAAAAATATATTTGTCAAAGCCTTTGCTTGACAGACGTGTAATTGTTAAATAAAATGTGTAAAGAACAATGAAAAATGTAACTTTATTTACAAATAGTCCCAGGCGTTTTTCTTAGGAATGCTTAGAATTTTCTAAGCAATGCCTTCTCCTCGTCACTCTCCAGTAATTGTTCCAGAGCTTGTTCCACCGTAAATCGTTTACTGCTTGCCATCATAAAAGTGCTAAAACAATAAATAATGCTATCATTTTATGTATGTGTGTATATATATATATATATATATATATATATATTGTAATTGTTCTCTCTCTCTCTCTCTCATATAAATCTCTGATAATCCGCTCCGTAAGCCTCCGTTCGCTCTCTCTCCTTCTCTCCATTCAACGCTGTTTGCATCATATCCCTAACTATATAGTACCACCCCTTGCAAGGCTACAGAGTCCTCTGATTTGCTAGAAAGGTCATGGTAACCTTCCTCTGATTGGGTAAGAAAATATTTCTCCATTGGCAATTTTTCAATTGGTTGTTGTTCGCGGAATCTGCCAAACAACATCGATTTCATTGGCCTTTTACATAGTGGTATTGCGCAACAAGGAAGGGTGTATATTTACAAAGCCGGGTATCACTGTTTTCAGCGGAATCTGAGGAAGACGGTAAGAAAGACCGCAGAAGAACTATCATTAATAGTTTTTAAGATAATTACACATTTGTAAAAGTATGCCATTTTGGGCGGTACCGCCCAATCCGTCCCCAGAGGGTTAAATGTCACTGTATAGATTACAGCAACTAAAAGGTAAATAATGAATAGGGTTTTACTTTTACATTGTTACATTCTTTTCCTATAAAAAATGACTACAGTTTTTACATTGATGCTGTTTTTGAACTAGTGTTTTTACAACTGCAGGTTCCACGTTTAGCAAGGCCAAACCAGAGAGCCCTTGGACCGCTCTGACTCGTAAAGGCTTGGTCAGGGTCCTCTTCTTTCCTTTCTTCTTTCAGTGGTGGATCCAAGTCACATCTAAATGCATCTCCACCCTCATCTTGGTTCTGTATTTCCTTCAAGGTATGCAGTTTTTCTTCTTTTCAGCAAAGCGATCACGTGGACATAAAATGTGCATCATGTGTTTTAGTCTAGTTTCCTTAGTCATTCTTTGAATATTTCAGATTTCGCTGAGAGATTATACATGTGGTTTTCCATTGGAAATGAATTCAACTTAAAATTCTCAATATGATGTCATGATCTGATGGATTTGTGTTCATTGCAGTGGCAGGGGCTGTATTGTATTTTGAGGTACCAGCAGCCTGTGCCAGTGAGGTTGTGGGTCCATTGTGTCTCATGCTGTTGTTGGGTACAGTACACTGCCAAATAGTATCCACAGAAACCTCAAGAAGCCCGGACAACAGCCCAGTCCCCAGCCGGACGGCCAGCCCTGTTCGCAGGAAAAGGTTAAGCTACTACTGTGTCAGATTTGTGAGAGACTGACTCGGAGCCATAAAGGACCAAGTGTTTTTTTCTCTCTCATCAAATGGCCAATACATCTAATCTTCTGCAAGGCTGGCAGTTTAATCAGCAGTGCCAGTGTTCAGCTGACACTAGTGGGTCAATGACAAATAAGAGTGTCCACAATAAAGAGTTCCAAGTCCACATGTGCCAAGTTCTTAGAAATGTACTCATTGTATTCATGTTGATGTCATCTGGTTTTGGAAACCTTATACCATTTTCATGAAAGATTTACATTTAATTGCTCTAAAAAAGGTTGTAGTCAAGTAAAAAGTAATAACACGTTTTTCTTACAGCTTAAAATCTTTATTTGAAAAAATATAAAAATATTTAAAAATATATAATACATTTTAAATATATTTTTCAAGGTAAAAAGTTATATAAGTGTCAACAATTATGAATTCATAAATATGACTAGTTTTTTTTTTAGAGTTGCACCAATTTAAATTTTACAACCTGTCATTTCATCAAATTATATATTTTAAGAGACTTATTGGGTGCTTCTCATTTTTAATTTGTGCATCCTCGTTTCCTTTCCTTGCTCCCTTTCCTTGCGTTTTAGCTCCGCCCCCTTAGGATGCAAGGGAAGGATACACATGTGCCATTCTCGCTCCTCGCGATGCAATTAGAGAATTGAGATGTCCTCCAAGATGGCTCGGTACGATCTGTTTTCGGGTCACGGGCTGGAGGAGCGAGGAAACGAGGAAGTATCAATTTGAGTATTGAGAAGCACCCATTGACCCTGACACATAGGGTGCTTCTCAATATCCCTACTCGTCTCCTCGATCCTCCGTCCTCCATCCTATGACCCGGAAACCGATCGAGCTCAGCCATCTTGAAGGACATCTCAATTCTCTAATTGCACCGCGAGGAGGCGAGGATTGAGGAGTGAGGAGGCTTCCAGAGGAGCTATGAGCGAGGATGCACAGTTGCATGCTTTGCGGAAGTGTTTTACCGACTAAACGTGACGCACGTATAAATTCTCCTCCCCCTTCACGTCGGTCACAATCATTTTAATTTATACTTTACCATTGCAGTTTAAATAAACCACACATCTCACATATTTCAACAGGGTATCTTGCTTTATTATTATTTATTACTAATTTCTTAAATAACCAAACTTCAACAACATAAGGGCAGATCCTTTGAGCGCTGCTGATGACGCAGTGAAGTGACGCTCGAGTGATCAAGTATTCCAACGTATAAAAAAAAAATTTCATTCGATTCCTCTGTCCTCATTTTCTTTCCTTGCAGCCTTCCCTCGCATCCTGCAGGGGGTGGAGCTGAGACGCGAGGAAAGGAAGCGAGGAAAGGAAACGAGGATGCACAAATAAGAATTGAGAAGCACCCATAGTCATGAGTATCTGCTGGGTTCCTCTCTATTACATCATATCCTGTTTTTTCTTTGTTTCTGCATGTTTGTTGTTTGTTGGCTTTAGTTTGGCAGTCAATACATATATATATATACACTACCGTTCAAAAGTTTGGGGTCGGTACGATTTTAAATACTTTTAAAAGAATTCTCTTCTGCTAACCATGGCTGCGCTTATTTGATTAAAAATACAACAAAAATCAGTTATAGTATTAAATATTATTCCAGTGTAAATCAGCTGTTTTCTGTGTGAATATATAGTAAAGTGTAATTTATTCCTGTGATCAAAGCTGAATTTTCAGCATCACCAGTGTCAGTGTCTTCAGTGTCAAATGATCCTTCACAAATCAGTATAATATGAGGATTTGATGCTCAAGAAACATTTTTTAGGATTCTTTGATGAATAGGAAGTTCAAAAGAACAGCATTTGTTTGAAATAGAATCTTTTGTAACATTATAAATGTCTTTACTGTCCTTGATAAATAAAAGTATTGATTTCTTTCCTCCAAAAAATAAAAAATAAAATTCTCACTGACCCCAAACTTTTGAACGGTAGTGTATATATACATATATATATATATATATATATATATATATATATATATATATATATATATATATATATATATTAGGTTACACTACTTTTCAATCTTTGTTTTTAAGAACAATTGTTTTTTTGTTTGTTTTTTTCTGTTTGTTTTTTGTAATGATATCAGGACAAAAAATCTATAAAAATTATTTTCATTTCCAAAAATAAAAACATGCACATAATACAAGTTCTCAAGTCATAGTATGAATGGATTACATTTTAATTTATTTTTGGATAAATTAAATTGATCTAACAAATTGCACTGATGTCATTGACTCTAGTGTCAGAACAGGCACCAAATTTGATATATCATACTTCTAATATTATATATTATAAAACAGATAGGTTCTGGCTTCTGTTTGGTCAATACTGTATTCTTTTGATCTAATTCAATTTGTGTCTTGACGTGTTTTAATTTTTTGTTGCTGTTTATTCATAGACAGAGGAAGAGTCGAAAAGCAAAGAGGTCTGAGGATGAGGGCAGCAGAGAGGAAGGGATAGTAGAACTCAAACCCCAGCAACTTAAAGACAACAACCAGCTCTACAGATCAGAGAAGAGACTGGTAAAACACTTTCCTTTGAACTGCACTTTTTGAAGAGTCATGAACATCCATGTTTGTGTTGATTGAGATCCTGTTGGCTTTGCAGAACTCCCTGAGGAGGCCTCTGTATGGGGCTTCTGAAGATCTCTCCAGTGAGGAAGAGGAGGCAGATGAAGCAGAGCTGCAAAGAGAGAGACTCTTCTCATCAGCACCTCCAAAATATGCCCGAGCACTCAGGAATAGACTTCACAAAGTCCCCAAGAACAATTCGCCACCACAGACTCAAGTGAGTATCTGAAAACCAAAGGCAAAGATCTGTAAAATAGTTCAGAATATTCATTACCATTGTTTGATTTCATACAGGGAGACAGTAATGGGATGCCAAAAGCCACCACAGCTCTGCCACATGAAGTTGATCTTCTGCGGCCTTCACAGGGCTCGCGTCCAGCCTCTGACACAGATGATATGTTATGGGAGGAGCTTCTGCATGATCCTGACTCCGCCTCCACAGGAAGCAGTGACAGTGGGGAGGAGGAGCATCACAGTCATAGCCACTCCCTCCCTCTGCCCAGCATCACTCTGACTAGTGATGAGGATGAGGCCTTACCGCAGGTGGGCTGCAGTTTTACTGTAAAAAAATTTAAGTGACTTTTCACACTTTGCTTAAAGGGATAGTTCACCCAAAATGAACCAATGAGGTTCATTCTCATGTGTTACGCAGTGCGTTTAAACTTCCGCAAGAACCAGTGAGGTTTGTTCCCGCGTGTCAAGCAGGTTCGGTATGTTCGCTGATCAATGTTGTGAATAAAACTATAAATCTGTTCATCATATAAGTGATTGTGTAGTGAAGTTCACGCTAGAAGTAACACCGAAGCACCGACAGCCACTTCTTGTGTGGGTTACACAACACACTTATGTCACGTGTCAGAAGTTACGTCCCTCTCTTGATCACTCGTATGACAGCAGATTGCAAACAATGATTTTTTTTTTTTTTTTTTTTACTTTAAAAATATTTGTATTTTTCTTACACACACTCATCACTTCACTTCAGAAGACATTCATTTATCCACTGGGGTTGTATGGATTACTGTCGTTGTGTGGTTTTTCAAGCGGCAGTCGAGTGGCAACCATTTAATGCCATTAAATGGACTCAGCGATGGATTATTTTCCTATAAATCTTTGTTTGTGTTTATCTGAAGAACGAAAGTCAGGGATGGTATGAGGGTGAGTAAATGATTAGATAATTTTCATTTTTGGGTGAACTATCCCTTTAATGTATTTTTAACCCCTAGTAAAGACCACTTTAAACACCTCCAGTGCGAATTAAGATTACTGTGCAAAAAAAAAATATAAACATAAATTACACGTAACAAAAAATAATAAATCCAAAAAATAAAAATATACAATCTGCTCCACTTTACTGCAATAATGTGTGTTCTATTAATTCAGCCAAGAGGTCAAGCCGTGGCTTATCGATCTTCTATTGGTTAGACGTCTTCACGTGATACGAAATCTCAGTCCACCAAACTTGAACTTTGGAGCATGCCGAAATGTGAAACTTCTCTTCATGAGTCTCCCGCATTCGCATGAGTATGAATGGAAGTCAATAGATCTAGAAGTGTAGTGTGACCACCCCTTTAGAATATACAAGTAAGTTGTTTAGACAGGCAACAAATCACATACTAAACAATAATTACCTAATTAATTATTCATGTGCTGTGCACAGTTTGTATAGATACTTTCATGCATCTTAAATTGTGTCTGTCTGAAGGCAACGATTAAAATGTCGAACCACAACAGCAAATGCATTTAATTTCCATAGATAGACCAGCGATTCTGAGCACAACCTCATGAATATGCCAATAATAATGTTAACCCAGGGTTTATTAATGTGTAGTGTGAAATTTGTAAATCTAACTGCCCATGATTAGCTTAATTCAGGATAATGTTAATATTTTTCAAGATTATTTTGCCATGTCATAAAAAGATCATATAATCTGATATTTCGAGAAATTTATTGAACTTGACAGTCAATAGGTCATGATATAATCTCCTTCTCTTTTTTTATTTCTTTTTTTTATTCTGCATGTTGATTGGGCCACATTACTGGTTCTCCAGACAAATTTTTTTTTTAAATATTAGTATACAGTAAAAAACAAAAAACATTGTTGCTGTAATTTTTCAAAAATTATTTTTTATTCATTATGATATCAGGATAATTGCACCACCTTGACATTTTTAACTTGATGTCCCCCAAAAAAATGTCAAAATGAATTTTTTTTTTTTTTATTACAACCATGCTTATCATAGAATAACCATTTAAAGTGTGGAATTCATAACTGGCCTTAATTCCTTTAATTTACTAGTGTTAACAACCTCATTACACAGCATATAGGTGGCATAGAAAGGACTCTGACTACATTATTAAATTTGTTCTTAATTGAATCTCCCTTTAGCACCAGTTCTCATGGCTGCAGGCTTGTCACCCCTCCAAAGACCGCGTCAGTGCCATAATCTGGGAGCAAGGAGAGTGTAAAAAAGCTGATATGTCCGTGCTGGAGATCAGTGGTATCATTCTCACACAAGTAAAGTCCTTCTTTACCTCTCTGCCTTGTTTATTTCTTCTTAAGTAGATTAAATTGCCTGGAAAGGGAAGAGAACTTTTTATTCAAATTCAATGTAAACATCTCCATGTAAGCCTTTGAACACTTACTGTTTTAGAGATTTGCATTAGTATTTGCATTTCAGAAGTAACAGGTCAATATTCTGTTAACTTACGCTGAATGATTTCTGTTTCCAGGTGAAGGTGGTTGAGCAAGGGATGGGTTATCTTATTTTCGGCAGCTTGGTCACGGCCTCACTGGCTCTGCTGCCATACTGCTTCAGACTGGCACAGAAACTGGATGTTGCCAATCTCAATTCTGTTTCCCTCGAGGAACTTCCAGCAGTGGCCATCGGCCCGCCTTGTGCCTTGTCTTATGCGTTCTTCATCATCACCACAATAGAAAGAGTTTTCCTCTCTGGACTCTTCTTCTTCATGATGTGTGTGGCTGAGAGGACGTATAAACAGGTGAAGATGAAAATGACTTCTCTTCAATTTGTATGTTGCATTATGTTCAGTTCTATATTCTAATACATTTTTTACATTTCCAGTTATATAAATGGGTATTAGCTGATGCAGTTTGAGCTAACATGCATTAACTAATGTTAACAAATTGAACTTTATTGTAACGTGTTTTAGAGCTGCACGATTCTGGATAAATTGAGAATCACAATTTTTTTGTTCCAAATAGAGATCACGATTCTCCCACAATTCTGAAAAGACAACTAACATGTAATTTACTAGAGGTTCTGACAAAATGTTAAAAATGAGTATTTAAAAATGTTTCATTAATTCAATTACTCGCTTATAAAGACTTCACTTGTTTCATTACTGGATGAATCAGCGTTTTTGAACGAATCTCTTGAATGAATGATTTTATGACAAAAAAAATCTAATTAATTTGTCGCCACCTAGTGGCGTAACGATGCAATCGATACAACCGTTATTTGAAGCAACAAGTTACTTTTAAAAGTTGATTTGCTCCATTTTCAACCTTAGGCATCAGTGTTTATATATGCGAACTATACATTTTTATCCCTGTACTTCTGACTAGTGGCAGCGCCATGCGCAGATCTGAATGTTCTGGTGAGCTTTTGTCAAAGCTATAAAGGTCAACTAAGTAACTTTTTTTACCTTAACCGAACAGCTTTGGAGTCATTGTAATGTTTATATTACTGATTTCGTGTTGAATGGTGGTCGTCTCGCACCCCCCTGGTGCCTGTGAGCCGCAAAACCACCCTTGCAACTTTGGGCTGGCGAGCCACCGGCCTCAGTGTTAGGAAGTATCGTGTGATATCAGGTCTCGCGAGGTAACGAATTGCTTTACGGCAAAAAACAGATCTGATAAAATTTTGATAAAATGAGCATCAAACAAAAATAACCCGGCGCCGTATACATGTGGTGTTGGGCGCGCGCAGCTCTTAAAGGGGCCATACCTTATTTCCACTAGTTACAGCGTCCATCCTACTGAACAGGTACCGGTGTACAGGGGGAGAGGATCCAGCCATGAGTGAGAGCCATCTCTGCGTCAGTGCTATTCACGACAGTACAAGTACTCCACAGCGACTCTAGGGGTCGCTGTTTGACAAAAACGGAATTCCTACTTAGTGCTGCTTTAATAGACACTGGAGAATTGTTGTAAGTTAGGAATAAGATCATGTGGGTGTTTGAATCGAGATTGCAATCTTTTAACAATTAATTGTGCAGCTCTAGTATGTTTACACGACAACAATGTACTAAACACGGAAACGTTTTTCTTTGTTCTCAACAAATGTGATGTCATCCACAGCGCCTTTTATTTGCGAAACTTTTCAGCCATCTCACATCTGCACGCAAAGCCAAAAAATCAGAGATTCCTCACTTTCGGCTGAAGAAAGTACAGAATATCAAGATGTGGCTTTCACTTCGATCATTCCTGAAGGTATCCTCTTCCTGCTACAGTTTACATGCTCAATATATCAGTACCATATCATGTGTTGATATTACCAATATCTTTTTTATTTATCAAACATATTAATATGATATTTATTAATAACAGTTACATTTTTACATTTACATTACCTTTCCTGTCATCTAATGCTCACATAATGTTAATCTATTAATAATAATTTATTAACCCCTTTAAATGTAATCTTTATCAAATCTGAAAATAAATATCTTTGTTTTTGTATACAGTATAATGTTGTTATGCCTAAACTCACTTGTAGCATTGAAAATGACTGATTTGAGTTTTTAGTGTTTTAAGTTTTCATTAATTTATGCAAGATAGTTTAGAATTTTAATTTCAGCCAAAACATGAAAATATTTGTTGTCCTTTATAGATCTAGGGGTAAAAGCTTTTTGTTTGCTTTTACATGTTAATCCAAGTCTGTTTATATAAGCACAAATGACAGTGAATGCGTGTTTCTGCTGGCTGTCACATGTGTACACCTGTTGTGTAGTGCAGTTTACAGATACCTAGTACATATTATATGAAGGTCAATTTAATAATTTCTTTGTTCTATTTAACAGAGACGAGGCCCTCAGCGCTCTGTTGATGTCATTGTGTCATCGATTTTCCTCCTGGCTTTGTCTATTGCCTTCATCATCTGTGCCCAGGTCAGCTATTGTTCTACTCCACAATGTTTTTGACACACCCCTTAGGCATATTTTTTTAAGCTTTGCTTAAAAAAAAAAAAAAAATACTATTCCTGTTCCATCTGTACCTTCAACCCTTAATGCATGAATGTTTCGCCAATCATTATTACATATTCGGGTCTTTAGCGACCCGGATCTATATCTATTGCAGATGGCTCTCTAACTGCTGCAAAAAAAAACTCCTGATATATGAATAACAAATTAAAAAAGAATAAATGAAGCATATTTCGTTAGCGTTTGGAACTAAGAAGAGTTCAATTTGAGCAAATAATAGTTACCATGAGCTCATTTCCCATTACATTCAGCATCTGGCTCATATTCTCAAACATATTCTCAAAGCTATCATTTTCAACTTTTTAAAAATAAATATTTTGATCAATGGCAGCTTCTTCGCCAGATCCACCATCAAGACAGTGACACTAATATTTGCACAAAGTATTTGCTCTGCAGTAAAATGCTGGGCCATTTCAAGTAGAACACAGATAGAACAAAGAAAATAAAAAGTGCTTTAAGTTGTTCAGGGAGGTCTAACAGTAGTATTCAGGTAAGAAATACCTACACAAATTGAATAAAGTAATCAAATGTAAAATAACAGTGCATAGTCTTCTTTTTATAAACCCTTATTAAAGTTACTCAGTCAAGAGCAGTCAGTGATTTTCTCTGTATCTTTTGTTGTTTGAATTAACATTAAGGACTCAGACAGCAGCAGCAAGTTTAGGCTACTGTCACTTTAAGAACTAATGCACGGATAGAAATGCGATTTTCTCCCAACTGGAGAAAAAAACGACTGTTTAAATGAATACAATATATTTTTTTGTGTGTATTTATCCTTTCATGTGAAAGAGAACTCAATTCAGCACTGGTATGCTGTGATAGGCGGCTTTCGGTGTGCGCGCTTCATGAAAACCGTCCCGAATTGAGTTCTCTTTCGCGTCGTCTTGTGCTTAAATAGTTTAAAATTTGAAATTGGCAAAACGCGTGCAAATGCATGATAAAGCTGTCCCGGGCCCTTATTGTCGAGCCTTGTATTATTGTACATTTCTTTGGGCCTGTTTACACCTGGTCACTTCATGTGTTTTTACTGATCGGATAGCATGATGATCTGATTTGTTTAAACAGTTCCATTTACACTTGGCCATGTAAATGCGTCTCCTCCACAAAACGAATATAAATCCGATGTTCAATTCCCTCGCTACATGCAAATCTAACGATTTCACGCCAACTAAAGTAACAGATATGAGCTGCATTTTATTTATCATCAGCGAATTTCAAGATCAAAGACAGCAATAGGAGAGAGAGCGCCATCAGCACTGGTAAGATAATTTAGTCTCACTACTTTAATGAAGATGATTGTGTGTTGACCGTCTGCGACTTGCTTTCAGTTTCATTTGCGGCAGTTTGTCCGTTGCCTCGGCTACTCATTTGTGGCGATTTACACTTGTCCAGTTTTGTTTGGAATCTGTCTTGGACAACCTCCCGAAGTGGTTTGAGTTATCGGATTTAAATCCGTCTCGGAAATGTTTCGAGGGGCATTTACACCTGGTCTATTCACGATCGGAAAGCTATCCAGAGAAAACGCATGAAGTGACCAGGTGTAAACAGGCCCTTTGTGTTTTCCCCGGAGTTTTCCTTGACATCAAATGTGAAATTTATGCATACAATCGTGCTCATAAGTTTACATACACCTTGCAGAATCTGCAAAATGTTAATGTTATTTTAACAAAATAAAAGGGATCATACAAAAATGCATGTTATATGTTTATTTAGTACTGTCGTGAATAAGATATTTTAGATAAAATATGTTTACATATAGTCCACAAGACAAAAAAAATAGCTGAATTTATAAAAATGACCCTGTTCAAATAATCGACATCTGTTTTTTGTTTTTTTGTGATGGTTGTTCTTGAGTCTCTTGTTTGTCCTGAGCAGTTAAACTGCCCGATGTTCTTCTGCAAATTCTTCAGTTTTCCAGCATCTTTTGCATATTTGAACCCTTTCCAGCAGTGACTGTGTGATTTTGTGATCCATCTTTTCACACTGAGGACAATTGAGAGACTCAAACGCAACTATTAAAAAAGGTTCAAACATTCACTGATGCTCCAGAGGAAAACACAATTCATTAAGAGCCGGGGTTGAAAACTTTTTGAATTTGAAGATCAAGATAAATTGTACTTCATTTGTCTTCCGGGAAATGTGTTAGTATCTTCTGTTGCTTCTGAAGTGCAGTGCTAAGAAAAAATCATATTTTAACTAAATAAGAAATTTGGACATCTTCATCCTATTCAAAAGTGTTCAGGCTGTTAATTAAAACTATTAAAAATCATTTTAATGTTGTTCATTGAATTAAAGCTAAAATAAAATATAAAAATGTAAAGAAAAAAACTTAAACTAAAACAAACTGAAATGGGGGGAAAAAAACGTAAATAAAATAGGTTTAAGCTGAAGTATTAAAATGACTAAAACCAAAACCCGAAATAAAAATAAATGAAAGCTAAATAGTAATATTTAATGACAAAAGCACAACAAAATGACTAAAACTTGAAATAAAATATTTAAATGAAAATGTATAAATAAAAGCTAACTCAAAATATTTATAAATACTATAATAGTATATAAATAATAATATAACACTGTCACTCAGGTTCTCAAACTTAATATATATTCTGTCATTTGGATTTAGTAATGTCCTGACTAGTTGTGTGTGCCATAAAGTCATCTTCAGAGACATAAAAGTGATTTCAGGTGTTTATATAAGGTTAAGTATCATATTACTGTGCTTGTTAAATCTTTTCACAGTTTAAAGATTTGACTGTCTAATATAGCAAAGGAAACGGGAAGATAACGGTTGTTGTGTTTCAGCTTTTGCACAGTCATCACACATTCCTGGACTCCGAGACCAACTGGGAGTTGATGATCTGGTGTGCTGCTCTCACGGTCTTCCTCCTACGCCTCGCTACCCTCGGAGCAGAGACCAACCGAAAATATAGCAACGCTTCTGTGCTTCTGACTGAACAGGTGAGATAAAAATCTCAGCAGCACAGAACAAAGAGGCAGTATTGTTCAGAAACAAGTGAACCATTCACACGTACGAGAGGCCGTTCAGCGAGGCCCAAATAAATACGGTCAACGTTGCTTACGGCTGAGCTGTGCGTTTCTTTTTCAGATAAACTTGTATCTTAAGATGGAGAAGAAACCAAACAAAAAGGACCAGCTGAACATAGTGAACAACGTACTGAGGCTGGCCACGAAATTATTAAAAGTGAGACCATTAAAAAAGCATAATTCATTGGGAACAATAAAAACATGCTTTGCTTTGCATTGACCATCATTTGCTGCTTTCAGGAATTGGACACTCCTTTTCGCCTGCTGGGTCTGACGGTGAATCCGCTCGTCTACAATATCACAAGAGTGGTCATCCTGTCAGCCATCTCAGCTGCTGTCAGCGATTTACTAGGGTTCAACATCCGGGTGAGAGGAACATTTGCACTCTTATGTACAGTGGTTATCTGCACCTGTTTCCTGGGTCTGTTTTATTGTCCCGCTGAAATGCAGATGTCTGTAATTATCTTGATGATCTGTTTTTTTTATGACTTAAGTCATAAATGCATTTGTACTACTTCCTGTTATCAGGACAGTTAGAGTTGCTCACTCTTTATAGTGTTTGACTTTTATCAGACTGGTGTTTATGCTGTACAAAATATACAAGCAATCTTTAACTAACAGGTTTAACAATGTCCGTCATGTGTTTTTTTTTTTTTAACAGCTCTGGAAGATTAAACCTTGATGTGATGCCTTTACACTGCCAGCGTCTTAACACTGGGGCCAGACAGACTCTTAAGTGTGCTTGTGCACAACCTACTAAATGACCAAGTTATCTATTAAAAACTGTGCAAATCTACTGACCAAACTTATAGATTTCCTCAATACTCTGTGCCTTCAGCCAGACTGAGTAAACCTGTGTTCAGCTCAACCTTGTTGTTGAGTTTTTTGTAGAATCATTAAGCACAGCCTGACTGCAGTGGGTTTTCTTGATGCACTTGCTTAAGGTAACTACTTAACAGCTTGCTGTTATATTCCAACCAGTGCTCACTGTTTCTCATAAATGTATCCTCTGCAAGTGTATTATCTGGTCTGGAAGCAACCACTTAAATCAGAACCACTGTGTGCCTTGTGGCCTTGTGCCTTGTGGATAGTTGCATATAACAGTACTTTTAGATAAGCTATTTATGAGACATGGATTTGTCAACTGCTGAATGGGCAATTAAATGAAAGTCTTGACTTTTTAGAAAAGGGTACTGAAAAATTTGCACACTGAAGCTTTTGGAGGAAGCACTTTTTATTGGCATTGTATTAAAATAAACAAACCTTTCTCTGAAAGTCATCTGTAATCATCAATCCTTTACCAAATATTTGAGTTTGTGGTTGGGGGGCACATATAAAACTTAAATACCATTGAATTACAATGTGTTTCTGACGACTCAAAGAAAATCTTGATTCCTGGCCATTAAATATGCCCCCCAAAAATAATGTTTATATATATATGTGTGTATATTTTGTTTTCATTGAATTATCATTAATGGAAAAGTGTGGATTCAGTGATTTTACTGCTGTACTTTTTATACTGCAATCATTGGCAAGCGATATTCTGTATTTCGTTTGTGCACATATCTTTTTAATGAATCAATCATAAAAGCTATACGTATGATTAATATGTAAATTACAAATGAGCATTATTAAAACATGTTTAATTATTATATTTATTTAAGCTGTCTTTTTCTATATTATTATAAAAGCATCTTATGGCTTTAACGTTATAGGAAAGTATCGAGAACTGACGACAAATAAGTTCACCAATTAACAAATGGGTGATTCAAATGAATCGAGTCACTGAGAAGAATCAAAATCACCATCAGAGCACGCTGTAATGTTTGGTTAAGGGGATAGTTCAACCAAAAAGGAAAATTTTGTCATCATTTACTCACCCTCATTTTGTTCCAAACCTGTATGAGTTTCTTTCTTCTGTTGAACACAAAAGAAGATATTTTAAAGAATGTAAATCAAACAGTTGATGGCACCGATTGACATCGATAGTATTTTTTTCCTACTAACTATGGAAGTCAATGGGTGCCGTCAACTGTCTGGTTACAAACGTTCTTTAAAAAACATGTTTTGTGTTCAACAGAAGAACGAAACTTGTACAGGTTTGTAACAAAATGAGGGTGAGTAAATGATGACAATTTTCATTTTTTGGGTGAACTTTCCCTTTAAAGTCAACTGAGTTTCAGTCCACATAGATAGACGACGTGCTGTCATTCTTTTGCAGGTATTACGGTAAGTAAAAGGTGACGTAGAGACACACCTTCACTCACGCGCTTGGCGCTGGTTGCCATGGAAGGTTATCAAGTGCAAAACCGGCTGGGAGGCAAAGACACCCTGCGGCCTGAGCAAAGACATTGAACCTGCCGGTCGGACCGGCGGATACAGGATAAAATACGGACCCCGGGGTTGAAGGGGTGACTAACTTATTAGGACGCAGTAAGGTCTCACGTTTTACGTGTCACGTTTTAGTCATAGTGCTTTAATGTGTCTGTTTAATATATTGATTCTACGGTGTTATAAACGTGTGGATTAGACCATCAGTGACTGATTGTTGTCAAACCCTCTGTTTACGGTTATGACGTAACATGGTGTCCTCAGCATCCTCTTCTCTGTTGTGACGTACGCGACATTTGTTGTTACTGCGCTGCGGATGACTGAGAAAATGACGATGTGGCGAGAATAAAAGATGCATGTCAATGAGTAGAGCATAATTGTATAGGGGAAATGTTTTCAATTTTCATTTTAATAAACCCATATCGTCGTTTTCACTAACGTAGGTTGCGTATAGTGTCTTTATTTCGCATTTTTTTCCTCTTCTCTCTGCAGGTGCACTGTGTTTTTACAGTAGGAAGAGCGAGCGAGTGATTAAGTCTGTCAGATTCAGTATGTCTGCGTGGCTGCAGCAGGAGGCTGGTTCAACCAGTTCTGCTGAACCCAAGAAATCAGAGCCCAGAGGCCAAGAGAAGAAATGCTGTAAGTTATGTTACACAACATGAACATGCTTTCACATTCCACAAGATGTTGTTTTGAATCCCAGTTTAAACCAGCTTAAGGTGGTCAGATGGTTAGGCTGGTCTGTTTTAGTATGGTTTGAGGTACTTTTCAGCTGATGAGAATGTTTCCCACAGGCCACATAACTGTTTTGTCCCTGGCCCAGTAACGTTAAATGTAATCGACGGCATGAATCATATCACAGTTGCCCTTCTTATAGTGCCAGCTGTCACTGAGGCTGCAAAACAGAAGTTCACTGTCGGTCTAGATTAGAAATGTGCTTCCCTTTATTTAGATATGCATTCTCTGTTATGCTGGTTTCAAATTGCAGATCAAGGTAGAGGCACATTTGTTTAGGTTTCTTTTCCCAGTCATCAAATTGCTGACATGAGGTCATGTTCATTGTTGGGGGTAACTCATTACAAGTAACTTGAGTTACATAATCAGATTACTTTTTCATGTAACTAGTAAAGTACTTCGATATTTTGTTGTAAATTGAAAAAGTAACGAAGTTACTTTTTCAAATAAGTAACTCTAGTTACTTTCACATTTATTGACTAACAGCTCTCTACTGTCCCCATGTTGAGAGAAATAAATTGAGGAGGTGGTGTGTGCGCTGTGGAAGCATGATGGTTATTTAAGTTCTAGACTGAATTAACATCCATACTTGTAGAACTTGCACAAAACATTCAATATTCATCAAAACGAATAAAAACAGTAAAATGCAGAACTTTTGTAATTAACTATATTAAATAAATTACACAAATATACTTTATTTATTTAATCTCACTTTATTAACCAATGTCTTTGCTGCTGACCTTCAATGATCTAATTCAACCATACTAATAAGCAAAAATTACTTTATATTAGAGTTAGAAATAAGAGTGTTGAACTTCCTTCTCCTGTATCCCATTGTTCCAGAATGGCAGCACAGCTGAAAGGTTTGTTTGAGCGGCGCCCTCTACTGTACAGGCGTAACTAGGCATTTCCTTCAGCCTGAGGCACACTTTTGGTGTGAAAGCCAAGGGCCTTAAAGGTGCAGTATGTGATTTTTAGCGGCATCGAGTGGTGAGGTTGCAAATTGCAACCAACAAAAGTTACGGTGGCCGACAGGAAAAGATGTCGTCGTCAGAGACAGCAGAGAGTAGCCAAGTTCAGCAATGAGGTTTTTCTACAAAGATAAATTAAGAAATTTTGTTTACTTTATTATTCAGTAAAACGATATGTTATTGCGAATATTAATTGTTACTTTTTCTTCATTGTGTCAGTGTTTTATTCGGAAGCTATTTGTGTAATAGCTTCCTTGCACGAAGAACAACATAGTAACGAAACGTGTTTGTCCGTTTAGGACCACTGTAGAAACATGTCGGCACATTTCAATGTAAGGGGACCCGCGGTGTATGTAGATAGAAGTGGCTCATTCTAAGGTAATAAAAACATAACGGTTCATTAAGTAAGGTCTTTATACACCACTGAAAACATATTTATGTATATGATATTGCATTTCTGTCAACAGATCCTCCTAAATATTACACAATGCACCTTTAACATTTGCCAAAAATATAACTTTTTTGTTATTAAAAAACAAACAAGCAAGCCCAGCCTAGGTGAGAAAAAGTAACGCAAAAGTAATGTAACACAATGTCTTTACACATTACTTTTCATAAAAAGTAACTAAGTAACGGAATTAGTTACTTTTTTGGGGAGTAATGCAATATTGTAATGCATTACTTTTAAAAGTAACTTTCCCCAACACTGGTAATGTTTTCTTCATACCTAATATGTTCATTATTAAACAAAAAATCCAGGGATTTAATTTGCATGTGGTATTCTTTTTTTTATCCTTTGAGAAAGAAAAAAACATACCTAGATCTTGGCAGAAGATCTAGGCAGATGTCTGTTTGTTTAACAATGGTCTAGAAAGAAATGTAATGCTCCAAAAAAAATTCTTTTTAAATGTCTTTATGTGACGGTAAAGACATTTAAAATGTTACAAAAGATTTATATTTCCAATAATTGCTGTTCTATTGAACTTTCTATTCACCAAATAATTTTGGAAAATGTAATCTGTTTCCACAAAAATATTAAGCAGCAAAACTGTTTTCAACATTGGTAATAAGAAATGTTTCTTGAGCAGCAAATCAGCATATTAAAATGATTTCTGAAGGATCATGTGACACTGAAGACTGGAGTAATGATGCTGAAAATTCAGCTTTGCCATCACAGGAATAAGTTACATTTTAAATAACTTATTAAAATAGAAAACAGCTAATTCAAATTGTAATATTATTTTACGATATTATTGTTTTTACTGTATATTTAATAATAATAAAAACAGTCTTGGTGATCATAAGAAACAAATTACGACCTTGATACAAGGTGTCAAAAGTCTCAGAGTTTCAGGTCTTATTTTGTACTGAAGTAGTGGAAAGTACTAGCCTGGTTAAAACCAGACCATTCTCAGTTGTAACTGAGTTATGGTCTGGCAAAGCGTCATAGACAAATCATTTCCAGAGGGGCGTCACCAACGGACGTCGCGGATAGACCTAAAACCAATCAGAGCGATGAAGGAGATGACGTATGCAGAGCGGCGGAGAAATGTCTCCGAGTGTTGTTCTTTGCTCGGTTTTAACTAAAAGGAAACGTTCAAATCGCTTAAAACAGACGCGTTAGCTGATTCGAACGAGTGATGTTCGACGACGGCATCCATCTTTGTAATGTAGGCTACAAAATCTGCTTCAAAATCCCAGCGCTGTCTTCATCGTGTAAAGCCCGCCCCAACGTTTCTGATTGGTGCCGCGATTTCGACGGATTGGAAATGGGCTTGAATGAGCTCTTTGCCAGACTAACTTTCAGAGCAAATCTAAATTTGCCGGAAGTTGTCTGGGTTTTCCCAGGCTAGGAAAGTACCATAAACCACAAACGTGCAAACATAAACTCATACATTCTGACATGCATCAGGCATAAAGTAATTGTGTTGTTTGATTTTATGTAATTTTTGGTGCAGATGCAGTTGGTGTTGGTATGTGAAATTTTAGTATTTTATATTTGGCAGATTATAATTGATAGTACTGGAGACCATAACTTCCTCCAGTCCATGATGTGCTGTTGACAACGTCTGTCTGTTTTTTGTCTGACCACAGCATGGGCGTCTTACATGACAAACTCCCCCACGTTAATTGTCATGATCGGCCTCCCTGCCAGAGGCAAAACATACATGTCGAAGAAGCTCACACGCTACCTCAACTGGATAGGAGTTCCCACAAAGGGTGAGCGGGCAGCTGGATTTAGACAGTTGCGACATGTCAAATGACACTCACTATAAATATCATCTGTCTCCTATTTTAAATGCTCCATTTAGCTCTCAGCTGATCATTTCTATCAATAGTCTATTAAGAGGTTACATTTTAACTTGCATTGGCAACCAACACATTTAAAGAGGACCTATTATGTGGTTTTTTTACATTTTAAACTTTCTTTAGTGTGTAATGTTGCTGTTTGAGCATGAATAAGGTCTGAAAAGTTACAAAGCACAAAGTCACTGCAAAGGGAGTTATTCTCAGATCAGTAAGCAATGATTCTGACCTCCCTGAAACACCTCGATTGTAGTCTTGAGGTTCCTTCTGGGAGCGAACACATCACAATTTATCCCTCATTTAAATAATTCCCATCCAAGGCATACGCAAAAAAGGGCGAGGCCTGGTAGAGTTGCTTTAATAACAGGGCTGCGTCCAAAATCACAATCTCTTGAGTAATTACTTCACGACCGCTAAAAAGTATGTTTTATATAGTATGTCTGGTGTAGTATGAATGTAATCTGGACATACTACATTCGCCATGTTGTCATTATCATGTGACCTACCAGTGTCAGTTACGTCCCTTCATTGCCATTCACAAATTCACTCCCGTGGCCTTGTGGGATAGTAAAGTGTCCATCGTATGCACACTTAAGAATCTCGTCGGAAGAAGTAGGTCATCCACGTACTTTTTGCCTACTCTTTTATGAGTATTGTGAATTCGGACATACTATTCTGTCACATACTGTTTTTTCGCCTACTATATAGTAGGGAAGTATACGATTTAGCATTCAGCCCAAGTGAATCAGCCTCAAGTTAGTGCTTACACCTGAGAAGCTGAAACTTGCTGTTATGTTAAGGGGCGTGACATTTCCGAAACACACTCGAAGCGGTTGACCCATCACAACAAACTTGTGGTCCAGCCGACCAATCAGAGCACATTGTGCTTTTTGGTAGGAGGGCTTCATAGAGACAGGAAATAAACAGCGTTAATGACAGACTGGGAAGAGAGGTTCTGCAACAATGTAATATATATAAAAAATAATGTGTTTTTTGAACATTCAATCATGAAGACCTATTCTAGTAGACCCCAAAAACAAAACCAAGACATAAGGCATAAAATGGCTTCTTTCAACTCAATCTCTCTTGAGTGCATCATGACCCACAATACAAGTGTTTTAGTCACTGTAACTTACTTTACATCTTTACATACAGAGTGATATCACCATGATGCATTACAGTTGTGCAAAAACTGATCAAGAATGTGACAATGTAGAGATTAACCGTCATTCCTTGTTTATTGGTTTATTGTGCAGTGTTTAACCTTGGTGTGTACCGGAGGGAAGCAGTTAAAGCATACAAGTCATATGATTTCTTCAGACATGACAATGAGGAAGCCATGAAGATACGGAAGTAGGATTATATCTTTTGTGTGTGATTTAATGGAAGAGTTCCCCCCACAAATGAAAGTTCTGTCATTGTTTACTCACCCTCATGTTGTTCCAAACCTGTTAGACTTTCTTTCTTCTGTGGAACATGAAAAGAGAAGTTTACTTTCATACAATGTCTTGTGTAGAAAAGTTCACAATATTGTTTATAGTGTATATGTAATAATAATGTATATGTTTTCAGTAAACCAAGAAACTAATGTGACTAAAGTAAGCCTGTTAGACTAATATGATGGCAGAAGGATTAAGACATTTCCTGAAGGTTACATCAGTGCATTTCTGACAGGATTGTTTGTGTTTTTCCTGAGAACTGCTGAATTAAAAAATATATATATATATATATGGTTATATTTGCATCCCAAACAGACAATTTGCCTTGGTGGCCCTGCAAGATGTCAAGGCCTACTTTAATGAGGAAGGTGGACAAATAGCTGTAAGGTTTTACCTTTTTCTGTGTTCACATCAATTATTTACTTTAATGTAGTGTGGAATGTTATTAATTTTAAGAATAGCCTAATAATAAGATTCAGATTATATATATATATATATATATATATATATTTGATTAATACATAGATAATTATGTGACATTGTCCTCATTCTTTTTTATTTTTTTATTTTAGGTATTTGATGCCACAAACACAACCCGGGAGAGGCGTGATCTTATATTAAATTTTGTACAGGAAAATGCATTCAAGGTAGCCAAATGTGCAATTTAAACGTTCATAAGATGAGTTATCTTTGTGTGGAAGTGATATGTGATTATCATTTTCCTATTTCTGTGTGTTTACGTTTGCAGGTGTTTTTTGTGGAGTCAGTATGTGATGATCCAGAGGTTATTGCTGCAAACATCCTGGTATGTTGTGATGTTTGGTTTGCACTTCATTAAACTGATGGTATAATGATTACAGCAACATAGCAGTATTACTGTTCATTATCTTTTCAACAGTTGTCTCTTATGTGCCTTTTGTATCTTCAGGAAGTCAAGGTTTCAAGTCCAGATTATCCAGAAAGACACAGAGAGAGAGTCATGGATGATTTCCTGAAACGCATCGAATGTTATAAAGTCACTTACCAACCACTAGATCCTGATGAATATGAGAAGTAAGAATGATTCAAAAATCAAACATTATTTTTGCATATCTGAATGTACATACATTTTCTTTGGAATAAATCTTCTATTTTTCCTTCAAATTGCCACAATTTCGCTATTTTAAAGGTTCCTACTTTTGTTTTTGGAGGTCTCCTACAATAGGTTTACATGCATCCAAGGTCAAAAAATACTGTAATTTTCTCATAATATACATTGCAGCATCACCTCTTTTCTCACAGTGTCTAAAATAGTTTGATAAAGGTTTCTGTCTCTATAAAACTTCTCCTTTCCGAGAGCCTACTCTGCTCTGATTGTCAGATGGCCCAGTCTGTTGTGATTGGTCTACAGCTTACAGCGCATGTCGAAAACGAAATGTCCATTACCATATCTGAATTTTCCGGAGGCTTCCACAGCACTTGTACACACAGTGATACGAACAGTAACAATAGCGTCGGCTTGACCGTATCAATACAAGTCCTCATCCTTTGGAAGTGCATGCAAAGTGGATTTGCTTTCGCATAGCAGAAAACAGCGTCTTCTCGACATGTCGAAAACACAAACCAAACTCCTCCAGGTCTCCTCTAGGTCAAGTAGATGTTGTTTGTGGGCAGCCAATGAAGACCATAGGCTGGAAGTATGCAAATTTGTTACAAACCTACATAGGTTTGTGCAGGAATAAGACTGGAGTTACTGACGACTCATTCCAGGCAGTTCAGAATTGGTTCTTTCGTTTGGGAAACAATAACTCCATTTATCATGCACTTTGATCTTTGAAACTTTGCAGACCTTTTACATTCACAAACAGCTGTATTACACACTAAATGGAAGGTAATATCCAAAAAAGCATAACAGGGGCACTTTGAACGTTATGAACAGGAAAAGACAAACTTAAAATGTACTCTTTTTTTTTTTTTTTTCTCCAGAGACCTGTCCTTCATCAAGGTGATGAACGTGGGCCGCCGGTTCCTGGTAAACCGTGTTCAGGACTACATCCAGAGCAAGATTGTCTACTACCTCATGAACATCCACGTACACTCGCACTCCATCTACCTCTGCAGGCACGGAGAAAGCGAGCACAACGTCCAGGGCCGCATCGGAGGAGACGCTGAACTCTCCTCCCGGGGGAGACAGGTCTGAACTCATTCATTGCTGCCTTTATAGTGGTTATTCATCAGAAGATGCTTGACTTTCTCTCTCCTTTGCGTGTAGTTTGCCAGTGCCCTGCGTGGGTTCATTAAGGAGCATATTAAGCTCTCTGACTTGAAGGTTTGGACCAGCCAGTTAAGGAGAACCATCCAGACGGCTGAGGAGCTGGGAGTTCCCTATGAGCAGTGGAAAATCCTCAATGAGATAGATGCCGTTAGTATGCCCAGGTCCCAGTGGAGATTACATGCAGTTTAGATGTATTGTATGTTCATTCATCAGCAATTTTTGCTCTGAAACAGGGTGTATGTGAGGAGATGACCTATGAAATGATCCAGAACACATTCCCAGAAGAGTTTGCCTTAAGGGATCAGGACAAATACCACTACAGATATCCAGGAGGGGAGGTACAGCATGTCATGAACTACTCACTTTGTTAAAGTTCTTCAGATTATGTCTCTCTGAGACATATTTCAAAAGTATTTCAGAGTGTTTCAAAATGCTCTCTTTTCTTGTAGTCATATATGGACCTGGTTCAGCGACTGGAACCTGTGATTATGGAGCTTGAGAGACAAGGCAATGTACTAGTCGTCTGCCATCAGGCGGTTATGCGCTGCCTACTAGCTTATTTCTTGGACAAGAGTGCAGGCAAGATGCATTTGCATTTTGAAAAGAATGCTAAAACTTAAAAAAAAACTGCCTAATCTTTGCAACTGTATATATATATATATATGGTTATATTTTTATCTCACCTTAAACCACAATTTCAACAAGACGATATTATTTCAATAATACCATATATATATATATATATTCAAGACCATATATATCATAATATGCAACAACAGTGATCAATACATCACAGAAATGTACATCAACTGAAACCTTTTTTTATATTTTGTCTCAGATGATCTCCCCTATTTGAAATGTCCCCTTCACACAGTCATGAAGCTCACTCCTGTTGCCTATGGTGGGTTGGACAGTTGTTTCCTCACTTTTGCAAACACACACATGGAAATTCTGTTCACAAACGATTTTGAATTATGTTTTAGGTTGCAAAGTGGAAATGTTTTATCTGAATGTGGAGGCAGTGAATACACATAGGGACCGACCACTGGTGAGTCCACATCTGTCTCTGTGGTGTTCTCTCTTTCAGTATGAAATATTAATGGAGGTAATTAAATATTCATTTTAAAATAATTGGGGCCACATTTATCTCTCAGATTTTAAATGTTTTAGAAACTTATGTTTCTACTTAAGCATGCTATGTTTCTTATGGTACAGCCTTGGAAATCTTATAGGCTTTCTATTGATTGGGAATTACAATTTCATCACTGCATGTTTGCCGTCTGTGATGCTTGTTTTTCTTAGATAATGTTGGTTAAAGCATTTTTCTATCCACAGCATCTGTGATGTGCTGTCAATTACCACAGGAAATAATTTTGACTCATTTTAAACAAATTGACTAATTCATCCTCCTGGAACAATAGTCCCACTTCTACTGCAACTTTACAGCTCAAAAACTGATGCAAGTTCTTTAACGACACATTTGTTTTTAAACCATGTATGCCTTGCCTCATAGACTTCTACTCTAAACAGTGTAAAATGATTCAAATGGTTTTCGTTTAAAAAAAAAAAAAACCTGTAATTAAATAAAATATCATATAAATATCAGATGGAAAACTTAAATTATAATTTGAACTAAAACATTATTAAAATATAAATATTATCTATAAACTATTAAAATGACAAAAGCACATGGCAAAATTACTTAAACTAAAAATCAAATTGAAAACTGAAAGTATAAATTAAAAAAGTTGATTCAAAATATGAATACTAAAATGACAATGATTCTAAGGGCATCACTGTAAATGTATTTTTTGTTATTTTTAACTGAATGATGGGTCAAAGTTGTTGTCTATGGTTAATTGTTAACCCATAACACTCTTTAAGCTATGTTCTGTTGTTTAATCAAAACTGTCAGTCAAATGGTTTGATTAAAAATCTTCTTCCTCTTTTGCTTATTCACCTCATCAGAGTGAGGATCAACCGTCCCCTGTATATGTTGATGATTTACAATATTTGTACAGATGTAATATAGCCTAGAGTTTTGTGTGTAAATCACAGTTATGATGTCTCAGCAGCCTGTGGTTGTAATGTAACTCTGCGTTTGTGTTGTGAGTTATGCTTATCCATGTGTTGAACGCTCCATTGAACGACATTGTGCTGATGTTTTAGAATGTTAACCTGAAGTAATTTATCATACTTTTTAGTCTGTATATATTGATTGATTAATGTGGATTATCTTTGGGAATACTTGGAGCTGTGGAGACTGAAGACTGATGTGTCCTGTTCGCTATTGAGATGTGTGCTAAAGGTCTTTAAAGATGAGCTATATGTGTAGGCCAGCGATGTCCAAACTCGGGCCTGGAGGGACGCTGTCCCGCAGAGTTTAGCTCCAACTTGCCTCAACACACCTGCCTGGAAGTTTCTAGTATACCTAGGAAGACTTGGGTGTGTTTAATTGGGGTTGGAGCTGAGCTCTTCAGGACAGTGGCCCTCCAGGAGCAGGATTGGACACCCCTGGTGTAGGCGGTCTCTCTTTTTAACCCAGCCAGTCTCTCCCATCTCAAACCAGGGGAAAGTCAGACGAGACTCTGCCCCTCTGCTGCTAAGGCGGAATAGTTACACCCCACTTTCCAGTCATGACCAGGTTAAGCGGCCCCGTCTCTACAGCGCTGGCAACCGGTCCTGGCTGCCCCTCACCCCCTCCCCCACCGCCCTGCACTTCCCTGACACACCAGACGGGGCGCTGCTGCTTCAGCAAAGCCAAGTTAGTGTCAGAATCTGAAGCCCTGGGATATTAAATGGACTCGATTGACCCAGTGATGTCCTGACATGAACCCACCCTCACCCTGGTGTTCTGAATCACCTGTGAATGTCACACCCAGTACTGTTTGTGCTAAATGCATGAAACCATTTCAGTTTGGCAGTCTCCTCTATTTTGTTCCTTGTTTTTTATGTAAGAGCATGTTCTTAACTCCTTGTTCAGCTTGAGCTTCTTTTTTTGTTTTGCTGTATGGGTACATGCCACAGGCCATACAATATCCATAACTTACCAGCTAACAGTTCTAATGTGTCATTATCCGACATATATACAACAACAACATATTTATAATATGTTACAATATTTACAATTACAACAATTATTTTTCCTTAAGAAAATCAGTCACTTGTTGCCAATATATTTAATGTGCTTACAGGAATAGTTTCCCCAAAAATGAAAATTGTCATCATTTACTCATCCTTTCTCAACAAAGATTTTTCTTTTCTGTGGAACATAAAAAATGTATAAGAATTTTAGCTGCTCTTTTCCACACAATGAAAGTGAATGGTGACCAAAAATGAGTAAAAAGTCATTTTAAAATCATACAGTAGGCATATTCACATTTCACAAAATATTTGAGGCTGTATTACAGAAACTTCCTATCCTAATTCTTGGCTTCTCAAGTTCTATTTGCTTGTGAAATTACCATGCTTAATAGATTCTTACTCATTAGCTTTCATTGTATGGAAGCGAGCAGAGCAACATGTTTTATTTCATGCAGAAAAACAAAAGTCTTATGGGTTTGGAATGACATGAGGGTTAGTAAATGATGACCTAATTTTCATTTTTGGTTGAAAACTGATGTTGTGCCTGAGGAATCAATATTCCTTGTCCAAGTTTTACTCTGAACATGCGAATTTGTCCATGCGCTTCAGTTGTCTTCTCCATATTTGTCTCTCCTCTTCCCCCTTCATCCTTCATCCTTCTCTCTCTGTTCTCACAGTCTCGTGTGGTTGGCAGTCATCTGTGAGTATATTTAATCGATATGTGTGATGTCACAAACGTACCGTATGTTGATTCTTGGTTGTCTTTTCTGCCAGCTTTCTTATAACCTGCATTTATGTTGGAAGATTCGATCACAATCATGTTTTTATATGTGTGTTTGTTATGACTTGAATTATGTAACTGTTCAGAACGCAGCAGAATCAGGTTGTCCTGTGTTGTGACATGTCTTTCTTTGTAGAGAATTCTGTTTACCTTTTCAAATGCTTAAACAAGTTATTACACCAAGTCAAATAGTAATACACTGCAAGCATATAGATCCAGGATAAGCATGAGTTTTTTTTCTTTTTTTCTTTATAAAAAAAAAGTAGTTTGAATTGTCTTTTAAATTGAAATCTAAAGGGGCCTATATATTTTCTGAAGGCAGTGACAGTATTTTTGATAAATATTATAGAATTTGATACTTAACGATACTGATACTCCTTATATTGAAGTTTAACTTTATCTCTATCTCTCTCACTTTTTTTTTGAGGACTCCTTGTGTGAAGGAATCAACTTTGACTGCCCAGACGAAGCTAATGACTGTTTCCGCTTCTGAGTGAGATGGGAGAATTTCCAAAATCCTGCATGACACTGAAACTTTGCTTTTAGACTCCCAACCTCCTGCTTGCTTTATCAGTGCTAGGACTACATTTCCCATCAACCCCCTGCATGACAAATCCCCACTGAATGATGGAATGTATATGAATGATATGAATATATATATTTATGACCCAACAAAGAATATTTATTTTAAGCGATAATGCCTTATTGAAGATTGAACAAAGGAGAATCCTCTCTATGATCCTCTTGAATGTTCTCTGATTCACAACGTGGGTTGTGCAACTGATGCTGACCTCCATACAGACAGAGTCTGTGTTGCAACACAATGTTGTTTGCAACGAAGCATTTTCACAACTATTACAACATCTTCATATGTATACCATAGTCAGTCATCATCAGAAAGAAGACAAGCCTTATTCAGGGAATTAATGGAAGAGAGATTTGATATAGATAGAGCAGGAGCTTTTCAAGGTTTGTTTTGTGGCTTCAAGGAATGCACTAACCAAGAGTACAATGAAATATTCTTTTGTCTTGCACATTTTCTTAATAAGAATGATATTTATGGGATATTGTACAAAGTTAGCTACTCGTGTGATATTTTTATAGAAATGTATTTGTGTGTCGCACTCGCATTATGTCAAAATGACAGGGATTTGTCGGATTCAGTATGTAAAATGGGTATATTTTATAGGTAAGGTCACCGCTGATGATGCTAGCAAATATAGTTGTTTTTATTAAGGTTTTGAATGTAATACTCTTTAAGCTGGTTATGCGTTTGTTAAAACTGGAAATACTAGCTTAACAAGTCGTTTTATATTTCCGTGTGAGGAGCTGCACTATTCTCAACAGCATGTCATCAACCAATGACATTGGATAAAATAGTTGATTGATGCATAAAATGCCTTTTGATGGTTTAATGTTAAGGCAAAAATGTCATGGTACTGTTCACTGCGACTTTCCTTTTTTATTTTACATGTTTAATCACATTTTTGCCTCACTGCATAATTTGAAATGAAGGTGTGACACATGTATTTTCAAAAGTAATTCCATGTGGTCTGAAATAAGGTTATAAATGCTACATGCATGCACAATAATTACAAAATACATTAGCAAAATGCTGCAGAATTGTGTTCAAAATAGCTAGAATGGAGCATACATGTCACGACTTCACGTCAACTTTTCAATTTCATGTCAACTATGATCAGTGTCCAGAACATTAACACCATCAGCACTTGTTTATGTTCGTTATGTTTGTTCAACCCAGCTGCATAAAATAGCAAAAATCAAGGTCCAGTTAAGGTATCCACGCATGCATTGCCCTTAGTGACTGCTGTGAGGGCACAGTACATATTGCACACCATGTGACTTTCAACTGTTATAAATGCTGTACAATGGCAATGCAACACACAATATACAGAAAAATATATTATATTCAGACCGTAGAATTTTGCCTGTAACAATGCTGTTCTCAAATACATACAATTAAACAGCTCCTGTTATGTCATACTTCTGTTATTGTGCAAGTCTTATTTTGTGTGTTTGTTTGTGTGTGTGGCCGTGACAGTGGCATGATAGCCACCAGATGGCGCCCAAAGACTTAACTTATGAAGTCTTTTCTTGATGAAAGACAGATAAGGATTTGTTACATTATAGTTAAGCAATTAGAAACTATAGCCTAGTGTGAATTTTGTCGCTGCTAAAGTGGTTGTGTTCTGCAAATGCTTTGGTTATAAAGGACACCCTCAAATACCTCATTTGGTTCTTAATAAAATATTTACGTTAAAATTGTATTTTATGGAGAAAATTAAGTCAAATCCCTGACCAAAGCGCTATACACAACAAACATTCGCCAGGACCGGAACTTTTGTATTAGGCTATAGACGAATATTTTTATCATCACCGTTCTTGTAATCAAATGTTGTTCCATTATACTCAAGTATTTGTTGTAAATTATCTGTCCTAAATAACATTTGCCAGTGATATCCAGCCTCGCCATTGCACTTCATCTATAGGCCTATCACAGTAGTGTGACTGACAGAAATGAATGGTTGCACCTGGAACACACACAAACACACTGCCTCTCGGTGTTACATAACCCTGATGGAGATAGAGGAGAACCACAAGAGAAGTATTAACTTCTTGTCACTGCAGGTAAAGGAAGAAATATCTAAAACGGCCATGTTTACAATGCCACCTATTCTGGGTGCAACCATAGCCTACTCTTCCTCTTGTTTGTCTGCTTAGATGCTAAACGTAGGCTATTGTCTTTTGAATGGGGCGGGGGGGAAAAAAACAAATCCATTGACTCTCTTTAAAATGAATGTGTCAGTATCATTTCATGCATCAGTGAGAGCTGAAAAGTGCAGGTGCTTCATAAGAGCATGTTAAAAAGCCCATGAAAACTGTTTGAGGTTTCACTTCAGCATAGTGTTCCAGTCTGACCACAATAGCACGGTTGTCCTATCTAGGGATGATTACATAGATCAACTTTCTGTTATTTATTTTTCCTCTCTTTTCCCCCACTTACTCTTTCTCTGCTTTCCATCTGATTTGTTTTTCCATCACTTTGTAAAGCTGCTGTTGTCTTTCAAATGTGTGGTTGTTGCAGACAGGTAATTATATACTGGCTCCTTGAGGTGCACATAAGAATCTTTTGTTGGTCTTTTGTGTGTAACTACCCACCGAGAGTCCAACAGGACTGGTTTTGCTCAATGTGTCTATTAGAGTAATGTTATATAAAAAAATAATATTATTATACCAATACCTCTTTACATTGGCTCACAATGAAGTATCAAATTCCTACTAAAGCATAAGGAGTGAAGATATTGTCAGTGAAAATATTTAATATTATTGATCAAAATATTGGCCACACGAGGTCTTTAAGTTTTGTATTAATAATATTAAATGCGCAGAAAGTGACAACATTTGGGGGGGGGGGACAATATTTGTGTCTTCCAGATTTGACACACAAATTAAGACTTGCACAATAACAGAAGTATGACATAACAGGAGCTGTTTAATTGTATGTATTTGAGAACAGCATTGTTACAGGCAAAATTCTACGGTCTGAATATAATATATATTTTCTGTATATTGTGTGTGGCATTGCCATTGTACAGCATGTATAATAATTTATAACAGTTGAAAGTCACATGGTGTGCAATATGCATTATATGAGAAGAAAGACATACAAGATCCATTCAACCAACCCAGTGTGAGTCAAAGGTCACTAAAAAAAGTATTTGACCAATCAGAATCAAGTATCTCAGAGAACTATGCAATAATAATGATTATTAGCGCCTTCTCTGAGGGTTGTGGCAATTCAGGTTCTTTCCCACCCTGCTTGCTTTCTCTTTCTTTGCTTTTTCTTTCAGTCTGACACACTGTGAGTGAAGGATATCAAATTCCCCAGAAAGCTCTCGGACAGGTGAGCGCTGCTTTGGGTGACCTCCATCTCTCACATTACGGTGCTAAACTGCAACTCCCTGGTGTTCTCGATTACATGCGTGCACACACACACACACACACACACACACACACATACACACACACACACACACACACACACACACACACGCACACACACACACACACACACACACAGGTGTGATCCTTACACATCATTCTGTTTTTGTTGTCACAGAGTATCGTACATCACTAAGGTCAAGAGTATTAAATTCCAGTGCCTTATCATACAAAAGTGTTTATATATATCATGCCCAAGTTAGCATTTATTTGATAATTAAAATACAGTAAAACAGTAATATTGTGAAGAATTATTACAATTTAAAAGAACTGTTTTCTATTTTTATTTATTTTAAAATATAATGTATACCTGTGATGATAAAGCTGAATTTTCAGCATCAGTTTTCAGTGTCACATGATCCTTCAGAAATCACTCTAAAATGATGATTTGCTGCTCAAAAACATTTCTTATTATCAATGTTGTAAACAGTTGTGCTAAATAATATATAGATATTTTTTGTGGAAACTATTTCTTAGGCTTATTTGATGAATATAAAGTTCGAAAGAACACCATCAACCTAATGTAACCAATTTAATGCATACTTGCTAAACAAAAGTAGCCTACTAATTAATTTTAAACAAGTTAGTTGAATGGATCTTGTATGTCTTTCTTCTCATATAATGAAATAATTGAAACTAAAATCAGTATTGCATTTATTTATTTATTTGTTCGTGTGTTCATGTTATTTAGTCGTGTAATAAGCTTTGAAGTCCAGCGCTTTGCATCTTTTTATGATCAGTGCGCAGGCCGCTTTCATTCAAGTGACTGATTTTAATACCCAAGTGTAATTATGACTTGGTTATAGTTAATTCAGGTCATTTTAGATACCTAACCATCATGCATTAGATGGCAAATAGGCAAAGCCAGCTGTGTCAAACCGCATCACGCTGGGATCAGGAGCCGTGTCGTTGCATCTGTGTGACTCAAGCATTTGTGGGGCCAGTTTTTATGAGCTGTTTAATAGCAGTGAACTGAACGGAGCCATTTAGTGCCGACTCAGTGCTGCAGTGTGAATAGGGTTTGGTCTGGTACTCTCGTAAAAACACCGTGTCCATTATTATGGGCAGAGAAAGGAGAGAAGGGGTGAACATGGAACAAGGAGGGGCTGTACCTAAAGACGGCTGTAAATCAGGGGTTCGTTTATACCTTCTCTCTCACTCCTTCACTCACAAACACACAGAGATCATTTCAACCAGATTTTCCATCATTTTGAGGGTTTGAATGCAGAACTACCTCTCTGTGAGGAACTTTTGGAAAAATAAACCAAAGTAAAAACTAGTATGAGATTTTTTCTGCAAAGGTATGCACTTTCAATATATATATACTATATCAAATGCAAATATACAAAGAGCAAATATTTTCTCAAATTACTTTATTTTTAATAATAAGTATTATATACACCCTATACATATATTGTATGTATTTTATATATTTTTCTGCTTTGCATCACAGGAATATATTATCTTTTAAAATATACCAAAATAGAAAATAGCTATTTTAATTTGTAATAATAGTTCACAATATTATTGATTTTACTTTGATTGATTTCTGATCAGATAAATGAGCATAAGAGACTTCTTTCAAGAACATTAACAAATATTTCCAACCCCAAACATAGTAATATAGTATATATATATATATATATATATATATATATATATATTGCTTTTTACGTATATATGTATATATATATATATATATATATATTGTGTGTTATTATATATTTCAC